AGAGATAAAGTAATTCACTTCAGGGATAAATCATAGATTAAGTATTATACCTGTATAAATTGACAAGTTATTTTCACAAAAAAAAAAATAGCTATATTACAGAAGGCACTTGTCTTTCTACCTCTGATATACTCGTATGTAGATGCAGATAAAACTTTTATACGATTTCGTCATACGTATAGATTACCCACGTATATCGCCGGGAGAAGTTTTTCCATATAACTTGGTGATATTTGCGAACAATTCGGGGTTTACTAAGTGACAAGCGATTCTTCCTTTTATAACTTCTTGTATATTTTGGATAAATATTTGGTGATCTGACCTTATAAATGTCAGTTTTGTGACAATAAACAATTACTTATATTGTTTTTGTGCTACAAGAAGAGTAAGTGGACAGAAAAATGTTGAATACTGGACTGATTTTTGTATATCTACCACAATGTTGGCAAATAGTACCAGAGGTGCTCCACGCATATTGCTGAGCGTAATAAGACCTAGTATAAAGATCGCTTTTTTTTTAAATGAGTGATAATGAAATGGTAATCGCGTCTGTGCTAACGTTATATGCTGGTGGAACACCAGTAACGGACGATAGATGAAGACATAAGGCAGGTCACTTAGCCCATCCTACTTAATTTACCTGGAATTAATCAAGACTGTTTTCGATTGGGCATGAGAAGATCTATAGTATATATCTATATTATATAGAAGATATATATCCTACGTTGCCAGCAATGAGGCTATTAGACTACATTATTAACAATCCTTTTTCTCCTCGGACGTTTGCTTAGGTATTTCTGCCCCAGTTGTATTTCATCGTGACCTGTGATTGTATGACTATGTTTCGGTCCATGGGCGTGATTTTGTAATCTAAGATGATCATGCTATTATTCATGTATATAGACGATAGATGCTATTTTCTGTTAGTTGACATAGTTTGCCATTCAAAGTTCCGTAAAGAACTCATGATGTACCTAATATTTAGAAGAAACCTGGCCAAGAACTTCAAACCTTGTAATTTCTTATGATTTTAAACTAAAATATCACGTGTGTTGGAAAATGGAGTTTGTTATTTATTAAAACAACATTGTAGTCGTAAAATGTAATGAGCCACAAAAGATTCCATCGTTAATGATATTATAATCAAACCGTAGAAAGGACTAGTCTATGTAAGTACAAAGAGTAGGGTGAACGTGGTCACAGACATGTTATTGTACCATAAATAGAATAGGAAAGTGATACGGGCTCGAGAATCGAACTGGTTACACATTGTGTACGCAATTAGCAGCATGAAAGCCGGCCACTGGTCGCCTATTCTACTTTCTTCGATGTATCATTCGATTTTGTTCATGATCTAGGCTTGACATTAAAGCCTAAGTATTTTTGATCCTCTAATAAGAAGTTGAGTGTTTTGTGCCGTATTATAGTCTAAAATAGAATGTGGGTTACATTTTTAGGACTCCAAAAACGAAGCGTTAAATTCGCCAGTAGTTTTTTTTTTTTAATATATTTTATGTAATATCTGGTTTGGATATTGGATACTTTTCTACTCTACTGGTCTTTTAGAAACTCTTTCTGTAAGTTAGATTGATTTGTAATCTTTTTAACTTTAGCTATGATTGTCACAATTTGGGAATTTCAGAATTTTCTAGAATAATAATGGACGGCAAAATCCCACTTGAAACATCGTCAAAGCCTAACTTCGGTTACCATTCTGCCTGCCAAACGTGGTAACTACTGGCAAACCCCCTTATATTGTAAAGGCCTATGTTCAGCAGTGAACAGTTAATAATGTACTAGAATAATAATATGCAGATATTTTTGTCTTCTTGAAAATTTTTAGATGGAAAACAATAATAAAAGGAATAGGTACTTCGCCTTCGAAAATCCAATCAAACATGATTCAAGCTAGATATTGAATATAAACGTCATTAATTTTAATCACGTTGCTTGTTTGACTAATTTAATTATTTTCTAATAGCTATTAATTGGTACGTACTCAATTATTGTACCTACGTATTACCAAGTATTACTAATATTTCATGTTTTAGGGACTCGTCCCCTTCTCAATAGGTCTCCTGATTATTTTAATTCAAGTTGTTATTGCTTTCTATTTCAGAATTCTACCTAACGGACCTTAGGTACGTAACGGATAGAATTTCATCATGCTTCCGTCCAAATTGTTTATAATTAGTCGTGTCCATCCAACTAAATGGTGCCTGCAAAAACTTGTTTTTAACGATACAACAGCCCATTTTCTCAATACGATCCATAGATATTTAAAATATTTTCTTTTTCTTTTTTATTGTTAAATTTACTACGGCACTCTTTTAGAGGGAACATTCAAAAGTCAATCCGTTTTATCTAAAATGAACAGCAAAATAAGAATATAAAGCTGTGGTAATACCTCGCTTGATGCATGCACACACACTGACTGCGTCTTTATTTAATGAATTAATAAACGTACACTGTAGTGAGGTTATAATGCTTATTGTATTTTTTTTAAATGCAACTTAGAATGGCATACAAGCTGACGGCCCACCTGATGGAAAGTGGTAACCGTCGCCACACATGAGCAGTACCATAGACATAACAGATTATACTGTTTCGCCCATGATATCTCCCATGCGTTGCCATTCCTTAGGACTCAGGTGATATTCCTCTGTACCCTATAAATTCACTGCCATATTCCACCCTTCAAACTGAAACACAGCCATGCAAATACAACTGCTTCACGGTAGAAATACGAATGGGACAGAGATGCCCAAGCAAACGATTTTGTACAAAGTCTTCCTATGTATTTTGTCTATTACTGGGTTCCAGTTTTTTTTAATTGATGAAAATGGATTGGTAACCCCGCCCGCGCTATCGGTATACACTGACGAGGCACCAGTGGAAGATGATAGGTGAGAATGATTGCAGGTTAGTTGGCCCACCATGATGAATTCGACAAGAATTAAACATGATGGTTTCCAATGGGAAACCGCGTGGAGGTCAACCTGAGAGGGTATATTGCTAGTAATGGGGCTATTAGAGCCCATTACTAACAATGCCTTTCCCCCCACTGAGTTCCAGTAATACAAATATAATATTTCTGATTGATTATTTAAAAAGTGGTTTGTCAGTGAACGAAAATGTCAATATTACGATGCATTTAAATCTACCACTAAAAACTTTACATTCATGTCATTACATTACATAATTTTTTAATCAATAAACTTTAAGTACACCGATCACAGTTCTGTTCTAAAATTGTCACGATTAAAAAACTTATGGTTATTTGTGTGGAATGAAATATCAAATTATTTTAAATACACTAAAGTCTTTCAGATTGACAAAAATAATTTTACTTGTTTATTTGTATGTGAATCTAATAAATTTCTTTTCTTGTGAATTGTAAATCATATTTATTTAACGATAACATCTGTCTCATGTTAATTTCATTATTATATAGGATTAGGTATAGTTTATAATTCTCACTCAGCACACTGTGCGTGTATGCGGAACCGTCGAAGACTCAATTAATTCGCAAATTATCTTTAATCAGTAGGTACAATTTCAAATTCCAATTAGAATCATATTTATAATTCTCATTTATTTAATCTTCATTTTATAAATTTAGTTAGCAGCACAATAATAAAAATAAATTTTAAATATTATTAATAAGTAATAAGTGTTTCATAATTAAAATAGGTAAGTTTTTCCTGTATATAATTAATTTTTTTATGAAAAATAACTAGGGATGCTAGAAATGGTCATTGGAATCTTAATAAGTATTTTTTGGAGTTCATGAATGATCTGATTGCATGAGAATTGAAGTAATTTCAACGAAAAGATTAAGAGAGCAAGCCACTGAGCAATCATTGTTTTATTACCGATTAGTAACTGATGGAGGATGGCTAACATGGGTGTCACAGTGTATTCCGTGATGACTACATCGCACTTCATATGTCAGCTATCTATCGGTCAACGAATTCACAAGACATATAATAAAAAAATATATAATAAAAAACTATAAATAATTAGAAATTATTTATCTATTTAAAGGTTACTTTTCTTTTCTACGTAGTAACCGTTTTTACAAATCTCTGAACCGTATCGGATGCGAATATGTCCGAAAACTCCCGACAGGAACCGAATGTGCGATGAAAGTTGTATACCAGTGTTGTCATCCTAAAAATTTGTAACGAATTGTGTAAATTATATTCACCCTAATATTTAATTATTGCTAAATTATTAATTACTTTAACTATTAATAAAATTAATACTTATATATCACTAAAAATGTCAAACAATCTGATATATCTGATATAATTACTAATCCATACATAACGCCAATACCGTTAACATTATAAGCAACACTTACTTATTATGTACACGGGGGTATTTATTGGTTACTACTTTCAAGGACTAATTTATTTATTGTGTATACTTTCTTTTTAGAAGTTAGAAGTAAGTTATTCCAAAATATAAATTGGTAATATATAGTTTTTAGAAGTACATATATTTATATGTTTTAGATTGAAATCTATTGCGCTGTAAGTCGGATTTATGAGACCTAAAACACAACAAAAATATTAATGCAATTATTCTCATGTATAACAATATAGTGATTCTTTTTGTATAACCATGCTTACCACGCATTTAAAATCATCCGATAGTGTTTGGTAGTATTGGTTACTTAATTAAAATTAATGTAGTATATATTATAGTACGGTTTTTTTATTTCAATCGAATTTGTATATTATATATAATTGTTTGGAATAATATAATATATGATAATTATATTATATTATTTATAGTTTATATCCTAATTTACGCGTAGAAAATTACAATTTACAGCTTTTAAGTAAATGAAGTTAATGTAATATATTATTTTTTAAGTATATAAATGTTAAATTACATAGTCAATTATTGTAAAGATATTAATTATTTTTAAAGTTACACAGTATTTTTTTCTTCTACTGGCAACACTGCATTTACTTTTTTTCATGCAGCCAGTTCGTCGACAACGTTTCTATGGAGGATACGTTTCGTTCTCATTCGATCTGAGGCTACTTTTACGTTGATCCTTTGAAAACCGGTTCGAAAGTACTGAGGTGTGGCGTGGGCGATTCCAGTGCTGCGTCCGACCGTAAAACAATTACGTTACAGTTTAAAAAACTTTGTGTTAAAAGTATATAACTTTGAAAGAAGTAAAAGTGTAGTGACTCACTTGTGGATTGGAAAACCGCTATCTCCGAATCTAGGTAATCATTTCATTATCTAAAATCACTATCTTATTATGTATACCTTAAAAACATTTTTATGAATATAAATAAATTAAACATATAAAATACAATTTTTGTAGTTTGTCGTATTTGTAGTAGGTTCTTATCTATTTACCTGTATTTATCAATAAATCAAGATATAAATCGATGCATGCGTATCTAATTTAAGTAGGTGGGTATCTATCTATCAAAATAAATTGAGGAATGCCTGTTATGTTCTTTGTTTCGAAACAAATAATGTTATGCAGGTTTCTATCTGCTGGTAGTGTGGTCCGATGCAGCGATATACGTCGTGCTTCGTTGACTACCTACCTCACATTCACTATTAAAAATGAGGCTTTGTCTGTTCTGTACTCGGGTACTATTCCCAGGTACTTGTTTTTTTTTATGCAACTTAGAATGGCAAACTAGTTGACGGTCCACCTGATGAAAAGAGGTATGATGATCGCATATCCACTATGATAACCTTCATGCGTTGCTGCTTATTCCTGAGGACTATTGTATTATTCGGTACCTTGTACCTAACTTGTTACTTGTATCAATTTTATCTAAATAGTAAATAAGTACCTAATAATATTGGAAGAAATGTATTGGTTTTAATTGTTTTTATTAAATGGTAATTTTAAGTGGGTTGGAAAATCTCACAATCCGTATCTAACAAGCATTTACCATCGTATCCACTTTAATGAAACTGCCTAGGAGGAGCATTTTATTTAAAGGGTGATAATGGAATAGTAACCCTGCCTGCGCTATCGGTATACGCTGGCGGGGCACCAGCGAGGGATGATAGGTGACGATGAAAACAGGTCAGTTAGCCTCCTGACGATTTCCACTAGAATTAACCACGATGATGTTCCGGGGGAACCGCGTGGAGGTCGACTTAATAAGGTTTAATGGATGGGCGTCTTTTTTTTATAAAGAGTGATAATGGAATGGTAACCTCACGCGCGCTATTGGTATACACCGACGGGGCACCAGTGAAGGATGACAGGTGAGGATGAAGCAGGTCAGTTAGCTCATCGTGATGAATTCAGCAATAATTGTTCACGATGGTTTCCAGGGGGAACCACGTGGACCTAATAGGGCATATTGCTAGCAATGGGGCTGTCAAACTTCATTGCTAAGAATCCCTTTCCCCCCTGGAGGGGCGTGTTAGTTGGTCCTCATTGTCAAGTCCATCTCCACGCGGTCTCCCTGGAACTCGTGGTTAATTATTATAATTGATAAATTCGTCACGACTGACCAGTTGACCTGTTTCATCCTTACTAATTATCCTTCACTGGTGCCTCGTTAATATATTCCGATAGCGCAAGCGAGGTCACGATATCATTTTTACCTATTAAAAAAAATCCCAGAGGGAGACTGTACAAAAGTCGATTCCTTGGGTACCTCTGTCCCATTCGTGTTTCAACCACAAAGCAGTTGTGTTTGCATGGCTGTGTTTCGGTTTGAAGGGTGAGATATGGCGTGAATTGACTGGGTACGGAGGAATAATACCTGAGTCCTAAGGAATGGCAACGCATGGGGGATATCATGGGCAAAACAGTTGACTCTGTTATGTCCATGGTAGTGATCATGTCTATAGGCGACGGTTACCACTTTCCATCAGGTGGGCCCTCAGCTTGTTTGCCATTCTAAGTTGTATAAAAAAAAAAAATTGTGAATTCACTACCTTACCTGACTACATTCTTATCTTATTTTATTCTCATCTGTTATATCTTACTGGTACCTCGTCAGTGCATGCCGATAGCAAAGGCGTGATTACTATTCCATTTTTACCTCATTAGGAAACTTACGTAAGACATCCATATCTCCGTGAAAAAGGATCTGATGGCCTGATTGCTTAAATTAAATGTGCCCATAATGCTTGGGACGGGGCCGCTAGTACCCGTTACCAATAATCTCCCCCCACCCCCCCAAAATATGAAAATATTTAAAAATTGCTTACAATTTTTTTATTGTCTGTTATAGGTAGTTGTATTTACGATCGGAAAGCAAATAGGTTGCGACCATCAAACCGTACCATCTTAGATGTGGTCACTTGCATATTACATTTACACCATTTTTGGTTACGTAAAAGCGTTTTATCTACTCTGTAGCATAACCACTGTTACTTTAACCCGCTAATGTTTTTTCGCGGCTTCTTAAATGTTTGATACCTATTTCTAAATGTTAATATGAACCTACATTCTAGTATAAATTGGTTTTTAACATAAAGTAAAAATTTTGTAGGTATAGTTTTTTCCACGAAAATCGGCTAAGGACCCTAGAAATTAACAATAGAACGAAAAAACAGTTATTTATACATTATATTCAATTTTCATTATATATTAGAACAAAATCTAAAATTATTAGTCAAGTACTTAGTACTTGACTAATAATTTTAGATTTTGTTCAACAAAAAATCATTGGTTACAAACCAGTTATTATAATTTAAAAGCTAAAGTGCTTAACCGATTTTAATAAAATTTCTATGATAATAATCTGTAAGTACATCTCTTTAGATAAAATATAATTTTATGAACCGGTTTATAATATATAATGACCGAATTTCAAATCTTATCTTTTGTTAAATTCTAAACGGATTGAAAAAGGCTAAACGGATTTAAACGAAATTAATTATTGAACTAAGTAATTAACTTAAAAACTGGTGTATGTTTTATCAGAATCGTTCGAGCGTATCACAAGATACAGGCAGTATCTACATGAAGTAGCATAGAATGTAGGAGCATAGTTTAAATATGGTATAACTTAGCATACACGCCCTATTTGGTTTAAAGGACTTAGACCACTTTTTATTCTGATCAATTAATATGTCTTATTGTGTAGTTTCGGCATAGAATGGGCCACCCTTTCCTTTCGCGTGAGTATCTTAATAGATGACTAAGGGAAGTTAATGGTCGAGGGATGGGCAGCAGCGTCCCTCTCAAAACATCAACAAAGCTTAACTGCGGTTGCCAACTCGTCTCTCAAGCAAGGCAACTACTGGCAAAACTCAATAGGGGGAGGCCTATGTTCAGCTGTGGACAGTAATAGCTAATATAATCATCAAATAATATATCTCAGTCAAGCGGATGAAGTCGGATACTTCATATAGCAGTAGTTAGTATAAAATACAATAATATTCTCACCAAGCCCCTGATGCATTTAGTTGATTGTTGGCGTTATGATGAACGTAGCACTCTCCTTTCCCATAGTTTGCTGGCACATTTGAATCCAACGTTGCAGAGAAAAAACCTGCTGGCTTTCTTGAATTCATTTGGTTTATAACGACGTTCGACATCGGCGATTTGGATAAAATTTGACAAGTTGATGTAACTTATGGAATTATAATATGTTTATTACGTTGCGTTCCCATGGAATAATTTTGGTTAGATAGCAGACTAATGTCCAATGAATGCGTATCTGTTTATAACTAGCTTTTACCTGCGACTTCGTTCGCGTGACCGAGTATGTTCACTAACTAGGATTAAAGATTGTCTATATGATTCTTTCTATACATATACGTATACATTCACCAAATTCCACAGTCAGATTGGTCAAGCCGTTAAGACACTAAGAGGTAAAAAGTAAACAAACTCACATTTATATTAGTAAGAATTGTATCGAAATTTTATTTTGAAACTTAAATTTATTTAAATCTGGAGTTTGTTAAGTAGTTAATTTTCCGTGTGTATGTTACGCTCTCTGTACTTTCGTCAGTTTAGCACCGATTATGTTGATGATTTTACAATTGATTCGGTTTCCACCCGTATTTTTCCAGTCGAATACACAGGAGTTATATGAATATTGAAGATAAAGATATTAAGTTAGAACAAACTTACCCGGTGTTCTAGTCTCACCCCATCTCATTATGTTTTTAGTTACATTTCCATAAACATTACATGTCATTACCGTTGTTTTTTTTTTTGTTTTCTACCTGTTCGCATTTATTAATATTTATGACATATTTATTATTCATACTCGGTCAAATATGAAATTCTTGAGTAATAATCCTTACTGTACAAATACAGGGTGATAAAAGTGTTTACTATCAAATAAGATTGGCAATTTCCACTCGGTTTCATTTAAAGCATTTCAGCGATCTTTGAAGGGCTATCGATGTTTTGCAATAGAAATGCAAATTCAATCCGCAGAATATCCGCAGATGTACCAAAAAGTAGCCGATATAGTTGACTTTACAGCTTGAAGAATCACTTGAGTTGATTAATACTCTCTCTCCACTGACGAGATTTGTTCAAATATCTTTTAAAAGTAGGTAATTTGGTTGGGTTTTGATTCGTAAACTAATATTCTTATAAATAAAGTTAGAACTCAATGTAATAATGTGTCTTTTAATAAAAAGAGTAGTCTAGAAATTTGTACACACAGTTTAGATTTAGGTTATTTAGGTTCAGATATAGACATTCATCAAGTCAGTATTTTTGGACATTGCCATAGGAATTGGGGAATAATAATAATAATAACAAGTGCCATACAAATCGACCGATTCTCAAGCTAATAATAATCTAATAAGAAACTTTGTGTATCGTAGTATATTGCTGTAGGTAAAGTTAATTTCATATTAGTTATATTTTTCTTTTGTATTTTAATGCTTTTGAAAAATCATAATTTATTTCCAACTGACGATTATAAGTGTAAAACTTATCGTGTTCTTTTTCACGTAGTGATTCAAATTATAAGTGTAACCAAAGGCCCCCGCTGAAAATCAGCGCCGTAGTCTGTCGACTGCCGTATAATGCTGAACGGGGGCCTTTTTAACAAACAATAGGTTGCATTTCTGCGAATATCTGTATGATATAATAATAATAACTGTCTATCTACTGTTTTGTTAAATAATTATTATTAACTAGGCAACGAAAATCGGGGAGCACAACTCAGAATACCTAGACCACAAATACGAGCTTACTCACGTAACGTTTGACGTCTTGATGATTTGAATCATTTAATGTCTAATTGTTATATTTGTATTGGTACCG